GTTTCGCAGTTCGCATCGTTTGGCTTCTAATTTCTGCCGCATGTTCATGAAGCGCCGAAATTGAGGCACTCCCATTCCGGTTGAGCGGCCACCCACACTGCAGAGTCGACATACTTTCCATTGGTTTTGTTGTTTGACTGTTTGGCATACACGGCGTATGCGTGTTATAAGCGCTTAACAGTGCCAAAAAATCGAAAAGTTGTTGCTACAATTCTTTTGCCATTTGGCAGCGAAAAAATATCTACGATGAATGGCGACCAAAACTCTAAATTGGTCGTAGAGCAAATTTACTATAGTTTTACTGTTATTTGGTTGCTTATGCGCGTGTTTTTTCCGTTTCGATTTTTGGCCGACTCGACACTTTTCTCCCGATTTATTTAGCCAGACGAATTCAAAGCGCCTAATGGAATTTTTGGTTTGCTCTCTAGGCTTTAAATGAAGTAAATATTTTAATTGCTATTTTCAATTTAATTTTATAATCATTCTCAACTAAATAACTTTAATAAACGACTCAAGAACCACCTTTTCATACTCTATAGAAATCCATTAAGCAATATGTCGCAAGTCTACGCAAAAAAAAAATTAAAATAAAAAAACAGAAGACGTTTCTTAAGTGGCATTACGGATGGTCTGGCTTAAACATTAGCACGCATCAAAATGCAAAGTAATTAAAAACGCCAACGACAAGGACAGACAGCGAAATTACAGAAATTACATGGAGCAAGAGCAATAACAGCAACAACAACAACAAGCAGCAGCAACATGAGCAACAGCAACAGCAACAACAATGACAATGATTGTCGGCCGTAATGCAATTTAATGGCCAACAGAAGCCAATGGCCGTAACCACAGAATGGCCGGGATGAGTTTGAAGTGTTGCAGATATTGGTCAAAAGTGCCGCCGACTGGTCAACAAAAGCCACTCGGACAGAGCTGCCGAGCAGCAGAGCAGCAGAGCAGCTGACCGACCAGCAATGCGAGATAAACGCCCATTCGAGCAGTCATCAGGACACGCTGGACGCACAAAGTTGAGCTTGGACAGCCGACAGGCGACAAAGTGCGCTCACATAATAATAATGGAAATAATTTAACTTATTGGATTTTAATGGGATTACATATGCGCAACATGGCCAGCAACGGGTATTAAAACTTGGTCAACTTCATCACAATGCTGCCCTTGTTTAACTATGTGTGTGTGTGTGTGTGGCCGTTGATAAAGTCAAATTTAATAATGATGCTTGGTCGATCACTACTGATTGTCATAATTGCATTCATTTGTTTAAAAGAGAGAAGTCATCCATTGCAATACTTGAAAATATATATAAAATATAAATATATGTATGTATAATATATAAATATATACAAAAAAGCCGAAGGCCGCAGTTGCCGGTGCTTAATTTTTAAGTTAGTCCTCATTTTATGTTAACTATAATCTGTAATAAATACATAAATAATTATGACTAGAATTTATAAATAAATTATATAAATAAATTATAAAAAATAAAAAATATATATATATAAAATATATGCGTGCTTAAAAATAAATGCATAAAGCTTCTAAAAAAAACATGTAATAAATGCTCTAGTCGAGACTACCTGACTACGAGAAAGCAAGAGACGAAGGAGAACTACAGATCATTTAAGTTCTCTATATGTATGCAGCGGTACTCATTTGATATTTCTATTCAAGTAAAACGAAGCGAAACGGAGAGTAATTGAAGCAGCAGAGAACCTTCCCATTGGTCAATTAAAGATCGACTGCAACGACCTTTACCGGACACCGGGCTCAGCATTTGAGAGCGACTTAGTGATTGAGTGTAAGTCCCCCTATATAAAGGGCAGCAGCTGCAGCATTTGTTTAGTCACCCAGGCCTGATGGAGGTCAGTTGTGCAGTGCAGTAAAAAGAAGTGAAATATTTAATTAACGTTCAACTAAGCATTAAAGACTTAGAGAAAATAATTGGGGAGAATTCTAGAAGAAATGCTTGGACGAAATACTTAGTCAAATGAAATTCTTGGAGGAAATAGTTGCAAGTAATACTTGGAGACATTTTTAGAGGAAATAAAAGGAATACTTAGCAGAAATATTTAGAAGAAATAGTTCGTGAAAATGCCTAGGGGCAGACAGTCAGACGGACGGACAGACCTAAATCGACATATATATACATATAAATATTATATATATCTAAGACATACACTTGATAGAATCATTATACCCTGATATCTCATTTTCAATAAGTTCAGGGTATAAATATATGTATTATACGTCTGCATGAATGGCAAAAAAAGCACATTCAACTGTACAAAGTCATCATTGAATTGACTGAAAACTTGTACAAAACGAAATGAGAATGAGTGAGCGACTGAAGTCGTGTTTCTCTCGGCAGCACAAAAATATAGCCGAAAAGAAACGAAGTGAGTGAGTGAGCAGCAGAAGCTATTAAATGTTGTATATTGAATACATTCGAATATTGTCAGCTGTTTTCTGCTGTGTGTATCTGTTAAAAGAAAGAGGAAAAAATAAAGAAATATGTGTGCAATGTATTTTTTGTTGTGGAATTTCGAACTTATATATTTATTTCAAATAATTAATTAATAATATTCGAATTTAAAAACATAATTTTATTTTAATTCTATCAGGGTTGGAAGCTATTGAACATTGCTTTTCTGTAATTAAATAATTAATTAATTAAATTAAATAAATATTAAATCTGCAAATATCAACACAGAAAACATATATAGATAGTCACAACTACACATTTTGTTAGTAAAACTAAAACACAAGCTTTAAACAAAACAAAACACAAAAACAACACGCTGGTATTTGCCGAAAAATACATACATTTTTTCCTGCAGGTTCCGCTTCCATTTCGCACGTCTGCTCACAATTTCTCAAAGCACAAAATGAATACACAAAATATTCTTCGAACTACTTGAGTAGTTCGAGTGTTTTCGAAGTTTTCATTTCACTTTGCTCTTCTTTCGTTATACTCAGTCATTCGGCATGAGACACAACATGTTCGTCTTGCGAAAAAGTAGTATACACATTCGTCTCATTCTGTCCTTTTCACTCAATCATATTCCACTCATTTCGAACAAAAAAAAACATGAATCTCATATTTACCGTTTATTTAAATTATTCAAAGTAGAAATATAATCTGGACAAGGCAGCTCATAATAAATAATCATATTAATTAATTAAACATTTGCTTAAAGCTCAGCTGAAATGAGACCTTGCCTGACCCAAGAGAAAACATGCAGCACGCACACACAGATACACACAGGCACACAGACACACATTCAGCAACCGCAACTTGACGGCCTGCCACTGTGTGCCGTGTAAACCATATTGCATATCCTGCCGCACTGCAGCACCCCCTGCTGCTAATGCTGCTCCAGTTAGAGCTGCTGGCTGAGCGAATGTTGTACATGTCTCTGGCACGCTTCGGCTCTGAAGACTGTTTAAAACATTTAAACATGGCTGGCTGATGATCTACTGCCTGGACTGCGAACTTTCACCGGCCGCCGCCAGGCAGTGGTAAAAAGTTTGTCACGTCAGTCAGTCAGTCAGTCAGTCGGTCAGTCATCATCGCATGGTCAACAACTAACCGCATGCCATATCGCACCACAGCCAGGCTGCCAACTGCCGCGGGTCTCGACAAATCCAGGCATGTAAATGTTAGGTAGGCATAATATGTAGCTTCTTTTTTAATCTGTGGGGAAATACAATTCTGGCTGGCAGCTCACATTAGAATGTTACTTGTTTTGTTGCTAAATACCCTGTACATATTGATGTGGGCTTAAAAGGGATATAAATACTCGAAGCAGATGTGAAAATATTGGAGTTATTGGAGTGTAAATAAATTTAATTAAAGTGTTACATTTGATATTCGCTGGTACCCTATACACCTATTAAAATTAATTTGGCATTGATTTCTCCATAAAGTTTTTAGACGTTTATTAAATTTATTTATAGAGTATCCAATTTTTAAATACATCCAATACCACTAGAGTAATTTCTTATCGATGGCACTTCGAAATGCCCACTTCATCCAAGACGAATTAAAAAAGAGGATTTTTTCGGGCTATATAGTTTATTGTGTATAATGTATAATTATATTGTGTAATTTATTGTGTGTATTACATTTAAGTTTGCATTATATACAGATTGCAAATAAAATAACAAAAATTAAAATTTAAAAAAAAAATTTTAAAAATAAGTAAATAAATGTTTGCATTATATACATATACATATACGTATTAATGGAAAACTTTGAATCGTGCAACAGCTCCAGCCTTGATTAGACGGTAACTTCTAGTGGAAACATCATTAACCAGAGTGCTCCCACTTCAGTTTTTGTTGTTGTTGTTATTGTGCGGTTGCCGCATTTGCTGACCACATTTTAGCTTCATTTACAGTTATTTGCCGCATTGTCTCATCGGATATTACGTGTTACGGCCTTTCGCATAGATACCTGATACGCACTTGTTCGAGTTGTCCGCCCAACTACAACTGGAACTTGGCCCACACGCCAAAACCGCAAATTCAATTTTGGTTTGCAGCCTACAACGTTTGTTTACAACGCTTTGTTAATATTGTTGTTGTTGTTGTTGCTGTTGATGATGTTGCTGCTGCTGCTGCCGCTTCTGTAGTGTCCCTTTGATGCAATTTATGTGAAGTGTTTTACATGTTTTGTTTGCCTCTAGCCGCAAACGATCTTTTGTGCTATAAATCAGACAGCGAAATGAGAATCGGGGGTGTACTTGCATTTGTATTTGTTAACTCGACCAACAGCTGCACTGCTTACCATTTGATTAAAGTTAACGGTTAAAATTGAAATTCAAGCATCCGCACTGCTTGACATGGAACTCTCCGTAGGTGGATTCTATTGTAAACTGCTTATGGGCTGCACCCGATGAGCAGAACATTTGAATACCCTACACAATAAATTAAATTAATTATTTTTGTTTTATTTATGGTATACATGAATTCACTTGCCTTAGGCTCCTTGCTTCGATTTATTCGTTGGTTTTTGCTTATCCCCTTTCACGGTTTTCTTGTGTGCTTGAGGTTTTGGTGGATCTTTATTCGCCTCCATAGGGTCCCATAAACACACATTCCCCACTACAGATTTTATCCCATCAGTTTTTTCAACTAGCTTCGGTAGCTTCGGTAAGTGTTTGAAGAAATCTGTAATGGAAGCTGCGTTGAGTTCAAGGGGTGGTGCTTGCTCGACATGGAAACTTTGCAGCCAATTATCGATTTGCTCGTCAGAGTTATAGGGCGATTCTGGAATCGTTTCTGTTGGCGACTTGTCATTGGTGATTCGTTTTTTATCAGCTAGCTGAAAGATATCTTCAATGAGTATATTCTCCACGTCTTGATCGGAAACGGAATCGATTTTCTCATTGCCAGTTCTGATAAATGTCGATATACAAAATTCTTCGGACTTGAGCTTTGAGAGCAAGTCTTTCTTTCGGTCGGCCTCGCTGGAGAAAATCTTAAAGCCCTCTTGTTGCTATGAAATAAATTAGTTAGATATTGACATAATGAAACAGAGGCTACAAACCGATTCTCAGCATAAAAAATAAAAAATTGGTAAATAATAAATGTTTCTTAATGAGTAAACTTAAAAACAATTATAAGCAGTTCGTTTACTTGGATATAATCCTCCACATTATCTAGAGTAAGTTTTTTCGGTGACAATTGGCTGTCCGGATGTGCACGACGAGATCGTTTCCGTTTCGTCTTTAACTCCTCGGACAATGTCTGTTCCTGATTGTTCTGTCCAGGAATCGGTTCCGTTAGTTGCGCATTGTGAAGTTTTTCCAACTCTAGCTGACGATTATAGTGTTGTTGACCATCATCTTGAAGATATTGTTGTTCAATTTGTTGTTGATGTGGATAACGTTCGCGTGACCTTTTTCGTCCTTTAACTGGACCAATTCCTCCAGCTCGGCTATTTAAATCTTGCCATGCAAGTTGCTCTTGCTGCTGTTGAAGATGCCACTGACTTATCTCTTCTTGGTCATTGCGTGGCTGTTGCTCCATATAATCCTCAAATCTAGGCTTCTGCAGAAACTCATATAGTAGTATATTGTATGTAGTATAGAATATAATATTAAATTATTACACTACGGCTAAGCAGAACATCTACAACAATACCAACCTGACGTGGAAGCGGCTGCGGCTCACTATTCAGCTCATTTGGTATACCGCCTGGTATATGGTCAAATGGCACGCTTCCTGTGGAGTTATTATCGGGCTTCACACGTGGTATTCGTAGCGCCGATATTGAATCCGATATAACAGGCGGCTGCACCTGTGTCGACGTCTGAGGCGGAGGTTTGATTGGGTCATCGGATTGCTCGCCATCAATTTCTAAACCGGGGAGGAATTGCTTGACCTGTAAACGCGGATGGCAACTGAAATATCATGTTCATTAACTGCAATCTGTACTTACAGATTGAACCACTACGTATGGTTCCAAGGTGGTCACCATACACTTCCAGAACTGCTCGTAGTGTCCTTGCCATTCGTCAGAGTTGTATTTATCGACACCCGTTTGAGTGACCACCTGATTCCACAACTGCTTTATATCGGCAGAAGTCAGGGGTCCAATCTCCATTGTAGCTATATATTTCTCGCAAGGTTCAATCTTTTTTAATATATTTTATTCTTAATAGCTTTTTTAATATATTTTGTTTTCGTACTGCAAAGGTTTAATCTTTTTAATATTTTTTTTCGTACTACTAAGCTTTTTTAATATTTTTTATTCGTACTATTCAAACAGAGCCTGCCACGATAGTGAACACATCCAAATTAGTAAGTAGCCTTGTAATGACACAACTTTCACTTTCTGAACGTGACATTTAAATCACAGCATAGATGATTGGGACAAATGGAACAGTCATTCTCTTTCCTTTATCGATAACTTCTACTATCGATAGTTTTTAAAATCAGTTTCATGTCTAGAATGTCACCGAATTGTTCATAGAAAATTAAATAAAACTCATTTCTGTATAATTTCATATATATATAGTTTTATTATATAATGGGAATTGATTTAATTAATATTGTTTTGCCTAGCTACAGATGAAAACTTTCATATAATGCATGTATAACAATCAATAATTTTATGCTCTCGCTAGTATATTTCAAGTACATATAATATATTATTAAAAACTCTATTCCATTTTTACATTCTTAAGCAGCAAACGAAATATTCATATATATTGTGTATATGCTATTCGCTTTGTATAAATATTTGATTTGTTAATTTGAAATATGAAAACTATTAATTTAAAATTTGTATACGCGTTGCTTACTTGAGTTTCTCTATTATATCTTTCAACATTATGGTACTTTTGATTTATTTTAGAGTAGAACATTTTGATTAGTATAGTGTGTATGTGGGAGCATGTATATATATAGTATTATCTAAATAAACAAAAAACAATGACTATCAGTTGTGGAATGCAATGAATTTGAATAAAAAATCAATGATTTGGGAGATCTACAATTATGTAGTCCTGAAATACTATGAGTTAATAGGTTTGGCCAATTAATTTGCTAGTTAGCACACGGATAACAACAGCAATACATACACAAATACATAATAATAGTCGTACATAATACGTATAGTTACTAGCATTTAGTATTTTGATATGATCATGAATCACAACAATATGTTATCAATATCTATTGAATATACAATGTTTTTCGTTTTTTTTTTTTTTTAGTTTCGCGTAATATCAATTTGATTTACACGTTTACATACACAGGTAGCAATATACTCATTTGATTAACTCGCTTGTAAAATAATTAACAATGTGCTATATATTTAAAAATTGCTGCTTTTGAAGACCTAGCAATGATAATACAAAAATAAAAAATTAAAATAAACAAAACAATAAAATCGATTTCAAGATACTTTTTTGTAAAAGGAAAACATTCTTTGGAACGATAGCAAACATCAGCTTAAAAATATAAAACCAATACAAATATATAGTATAGTTAGTAATAGTATAATAGTATATAGTCGAACTATGTACGTAAGTATATGACGACGAACGGCAACGTGAATAGTGTCCGTGTTTAGTACGGCTCAGTCTTCTGCTAAACTCAACGCAATGTATCGATGATAAAAGCGACAAATGACTCGGGGACGTCTCTGTTTGGCAATGGCATTGACTATATCGCATACTAGGCCTAGGCATTATTGTTCTCGCCGCAGCATTGTATGCAGTCCATGCAGTTGTGCTACCTGTTTCCATCATTCTTCCGGGTCATATTCGATGAGGTCAATTGTATCTACAAAACGAAAGATATTAATTAGAAGTGGACTTTTAAGAATGAGGCGGGATATACATGCATCAAATAGTTAGGTGTTTCTGTGTGTAGGTGTCATAAGTAAGATTCATGCGTGCAATAAGTGACTGACCTTTAGTCCTTGCATTATTATTTGTGGTATTCTTAAGGCTAACGTATTTCAACTTCTCACGCAAAACAACAAGTACATAACGTGTAAAACGACAAAAACGTACGAACAACATTTAGACGTGTACAGATAGACAAATAGACAGTTAAGTGAGTGTGGAAGTTTGTGTCAGTGCAATGTGGTATTGTTGAATGTAATTGAAAATATACCTGCATGGAGCGTATGGTATCTAACAAGGCCTTCTTCTCTTCTAGCAATATGCTAATATCATCCTGTGCTGCCTTCAAATATGAACGCAGAACATCCGTTTCCTGTCTGGTCTTTTGCCTATTCGGATATTCGAATAGAATTTAACATTTCTTATAACGGTGTGAAATGTCACACTTGCCTGTAATTCTCTGTGTTGACCTTGGAATCGACGAGCTGTTTACGCATATGCTCGTTGTCAAGCTTCATTTGCTGCATAACCAGTTGCATGGAGAGCAGCTCACGATCGCGTTCGCGTGTTGTGCCACGCAAGGCGCCATTCAAAGTCTGCTGCTGGTCAGCGCTGATATTTGTATCTGCAAATGTGGCAAATGTATACACGAATCTTAAACTATGCCGAGTTAGTTATTAGCACACCTATGGGCTGTATGTTGAGCTGGCCAGTTTTGTCGCGCTCCAAGTGCATGCGTCCAATACACAAATTAATGGGCACTGGTCCCGGCGAAGTAATATTGACTGGCGGACGATCTTCCAGCAAATTGATTCGCACGTTTTCCAGGTATATCTAAAAGACAAAACAAATGAGTTATAGGCATTTTAGGCCAAATAGCAAGTTTACCGAAACGGGCATAGGCGGCGTTATTATCTCATCCTCAGCCAGGTCAGCTAGACCAATCACTGTGCTCATGGACAAATCCATATTAATGTCCTTCACGTGTATCTCGGCATGATGCGTAAACCAGCTGTGAATATCAAAGATAAGAAAGCAAATAAGGCAATGTTAAGCTGTCATCTATGAATCACAAATAACTACCTTTGTATACGCTTGCGATCAATCAATCCACCAATTTCCTTGGGCATGTTTAGAGTCTCTTCGAGGCGCAGTTTGATGCAGGGCGGCGCTTCTGGATTGTAAGGCGCCAGATTCCAGGCCTTACAGCGTGCTCCAAACTTGGTCTGCAAGTGAACCGCAAAATGAATCAATGTGCCCCCATACTAAGCAAAATACTCTACTAGTAGTTGAACTTGCATGCACAACAATCACTACAAACATGCAAAGCAGTAAGCACTTACACACATGCAGTCTGCTGTGAACGTATGTATGTGTGTGTGAGTGCGTTTGGGTGTGTGTATTTGTGTGGGTGTGTGTGTGGGAGATTGATGTTATGTTAAAGATATACTAAGAAGCAGAGTTAATTTCAGTTTTAGTAGTTGTCATTAGGGCTAAGCAGCGTGTTTATTTAGTGTTTAGGTCTTTAATATGTTAAAGCGCCAATTGTTAAAGCAAATGTACGTTTCCAGTTAGTGTTGTTATTGTTGTTTTAGTTGTTTTAGTAGTTGTTCTCATGTGGATCGTTAGAAGTTCGATTCGTATATGCCCAGCTGAGATGTGAACGCCTGCAAACCTAAGTGTAGCTATGACCAAGCCAATTCGCAAAATAAAATTAACGAGAACTTAAAAATATAAACCTAACTTAAAATTGGGTACTACAAAGTAAAAATTAACTAGTTAATCCAAATTGTATGCACTATTTAAATTGTTTAGTATCTGGGAAGGCTCGCAGATATAGGCATCGGGGCGCATGAGGAGGCATGCTTAAAAAAACATTCATATCAAATAATAAACAATTCAACAAAGAAAAGCTGCCTACATTATTTCAGACTTTATATTAACTTGTTGAGTAATTGCATATATATTTATATATATGTAAGAGCAAATAACCCGTTCAAACTAGCATATGTTCGTAAAGTATAACTAATAAATATTTAACTACTTTAACTAGTGGCCAAAAACGCTTTCAAACCGCAGCAGCGCTGGCAACAGAAGCCAACACCAAAAGTTAACTACAGAGAAAAACGAAATAAAACTTGTTGAAAAATGTAAACATTAAATTAAAAGGGCATTTAAATATTTGTTAATAAGTATATACAAAAGCGGCATAAATCATAAACAAATCAAGTTAGCTGTTAATAGAGAATTTCAATTTTGTAGTTGAGCTTTTTTTCTATACCTTGTTCGCTTGATGCGCGATCTGTTTTGTTGTTGTTGAAGAGTGTTGGTTGTTGTTGTTGTTGTAGTAGTTGTTGTTGTTTTAGAAAATGTGTCATGTAGATGTTGTTGTCGTAATTCAATTTACAGTGTTCGTTGTTGTTTATAGAGTAAATTAAACGTTGAGCACAATATTCGTATTTAATTAGCACACATTGAGATCGATTTTTGTTTGATATTTTTTTTTTTTTATGAAAATATATACGGTTTTTAGAGAAAAGAGAAAATATAATGAGAAAATGATTATATATGAGAAGTTTATCTTACAGTAAAATGTATTACTAAATAATCATTGAAATCAATTGTTTCTTTGATAGATATTCAGTAGAGATTGATCGGAGCATGCAGAAAACGTTATGAAAGTTTAGGCAAAAAACATTTAATAAAGTTTCAGAAAAAAGTTTAAAATAAATAATTGTAAAATTGAAAACACAACGAAATTATTTGCTTATATACAAAACTCAAATCGTATAAAAGAGAGAAAATAATAGTGTAGACATTATAATGAAATTAAAAAAAAAAAAAAAAAGTTGAAAATATATAAACAAAATCTTGCGAACCTGCAATTCATCCCAGGGTATTGCGCCGCATTCATCACAGGAAACAGCCGACACCTGCAAACGCACCGAGGATTTGGGACCCTCCTGCTGACGTATAAGCTCCACTGTGGTTAATCTACATTTAAATTAGAATAAAATAGAAATAGATTAAATGAGAATCTGAATTAAAAACCAACTAGAATGCAATTGCAACCTAAAGGTGGCCATGGAGACTAGATCCCGGCGCCGCCAAGTGCTAGCTTCTGAGGGCTCTGATGGTGAGGACATGTTTGTCTTGTAGCTGCTCGGCTCCTCGTAAACCTCGCTGGCCACCTCAACGGGCGAGGCCTTCATGTTGTTGTCGTTCGTGAATGGATTGAGACGGAACATAACGTCCATGCAGTCCATTGTCTTGTCATCACCCATTACTATTGCAAAATTCTCCGAATCGGAGCTAATGTCGCTCTGAACGGAGAAGGTATCACTGGCATCATCATTGGGCGTTCCGGACTTGATGGCCGAATCAATGGAAGTCATAAAACTAGAGAAGCCCTTCTTCATGGACATAAGACCCGAATTGATTTCCTTGGTAATGCTAGGCACAGCGTCGCTACCCGTAC